GGTTTGCATCCATGCATGCATGGGCAGAGGCCAGAGCATCCTGTGGTCCAGGCTCTTATAACCGGCCATGGACAAGCAATGGCTATCAGTAAACTGTGGTTGCTACAAAAACAAGCTTGTGTTGCTCAGTTCAGGGCCTGCCACTGCTGTGGAATAATCCTCTTGTACATTGTAAAGATTTGTCACTCAAATTGGTTTAATAAAACACTGATTGGTCAGTAGCCAGGCAGGAAGTATAGGTGGGGTGACCAAACTAAGGATAATGGGACGAGAAGGGCAGAGTCAGGAGTCCCCAGCCAGATGCAGAGGGAGCAGGAGATGAATGTGCCATGCTAATAAAGGTACTGCCATGTGGCAGAGAGTAAATAAGGAATATGGGTTAACTTAAAATGCGTTAGCTAGTAACAAGCCTGAGCTATGACTGAGCATTTATAAGTCATATTAAACCTCTGAGTCAATTATTTGAGAAGCCGCTGCCAGGTATCTGGGAACAGGCAGGTGGGAGAGAAATGCCCAATTACATACCACACTTGTTAGAATTAACAAATTCATCAAGATCCTTTGTGAGAAGCACATTTGTTGACTTTTTTTTTTAGGTTACTAAAATGTGTTGTTTAGGCTGGAGACATAGCTCAGTCTGAAAAGTGCTTGCCTTATAAGCATGAGGGCCTGAGTCTGATCCCCAGAATCCACATAAAAAAAAAATTCTAGGTGTGGTGTACATATTCAGTAATTCCACTGTTGGGGGGCAGACGTAGACAGATCCCCCAGGCTTACTGGTCAGCCAGCCTAGACTATTTAGTAGCTCCAGGCTAAGTTCCTATCTAATTAGAGAGAGAGAGAGAGAGAGAGAGAGAGAGAGAGAGAGAGAGAGAGAGAGAGAGAGAGAGAGAGAGAGATGAGTCAGTGGTTAAGAACACTGGCTGCTCTTCTGGAGAACTTGGATGGGATTCCCAGCACCCATACAGCAGCTCAACTCCAGTTCCAGGGGCTTGATGCCCTCTTCTGGTATCCTTCAGTACTGCATGCATGTAGTGCACAGACATGTAGGCAAAGCACTCAGACACATAAAATAAAAATAAACGTTAGAAACAAAAGATAGGTGGCAGCTAAGGAATGACACTGAGGTTGTTCTCTGGTCTCCATGTGCACGTGTGGGTGCACTTGCAACTGTACACATATGTGCACCCCACCCCACCTCATACACGCAATGTGTTGTTCTCTTGAAAATGTAAGTGTTACCTCTTCCATCAACCCCTTTAAAATCTGCTGTGGTCCTACCCAAACGCCTATGTTGACATTCAAAATGAGAGGAGGAGAAGATGGCGCTTTGGGAGGCAATTAAATCCTAAAGTCTTTTCAGATTACATCAGTGGCCACTCTCCTCCTCCCTTCCACAGTGTGAAGACACCGTGAGGGAACAGTCATTGATGAGTATGGGAGTGGGTCTCACCAGACACTGACTGTAGCAGAACTTTCACCTTGGACTTCCTTGCCTTCAAAACTGTGAGACAAACATTTCTATTATTAGCTATTTAGATTGTGGTATTTTGTTATGGCAGATGGACTGAGGCAACATCTAAGAAATAAACGTTTCATACAGGAGATCAGCCCATTTCTGAATTCCAGCATAATCCAAATGTTTGAGCAGGCATCGGACAAAAAGCTGTGGCTAGCAGTGCTCTTGGGGACTGAGCTAACATGCGCTCACAGTTCCTGATCAGGTTTTTCCTCTGATAACAGCTGCCCCAGGGGTTCCCTCAGCCATTTCACTGGTTGGAGCTTTATGGATGTTTCCTGCACCATTCATGGAGAACTCACTCTGTAGGCCTGTTTTCAAACAGAGACTCACCTAGTGTGACCTTACCCCACAGCCACTGGTTTTCCCAGCCCAAGCTGGCCCACAACTGTGTCCACTCTGAAATTACCTTAAATTCTCATCTTTTCAGTGTAAGAGGGGTGGGTGGGCATTAAGAGCTCAGCATTAAGAACTCTTACTGCCCTTGCAGAGGACCTGAGTTCCTTCCCAGCACCCACATCTGGCAGTTCACAACAGTCTGTAACTCTAGGTCCAGGGGACCTGATGCCCTCTTCTGGCCTCTGTGTGCAACTGCACTCACATATGCACATATCCATGCATAGATACACAGATATATACATGATTTAAAATAAAATCTTAAAATAAAAAGAGGAGTGGATGGTGCACTGGCCAGTGGAGTATCCCCCCCACATTGTACTTCCCAAAGTGGTGTGGGCAGACTACAGAGCTAAAAACAGCTGGCATAAGTTGTCTACTTGGGGTCAGGTGCTGTGTTGGGCGCTCCAGTGCATTATCTCTTTCTCACTGTTTTTCTTAGTCTTATTTTTTAGAAGAAGGAAGTGAGGCTTGAAGCAGGCAACAAAATCCCACACCCAGCTACGCAGCTGCACACTGATCCAAGTGGTTTGTGGTCCGCCTGGCTTCACAATCTGAGCTCTAGAGGTTCATTGCACTGCTTCCCAACGGATCCCTGGAAGCTAAAGCCTAGAAAAGTCTAGGAAGTTTCCATGGAAAAAACAGAAGTCGAGCTGGACACTGAGAATTCCATGGAGGAGGAGGGAGGGGAGGAAACCACACCGAGCTGGCCCCACGCTTCTGCTCTCTCCATAGCGCAGGGGAAAAGGTGAAGTAGACCGTTTTTGTGGGTGGCACTGCTAATTAATTTAAATTCATCCCTTGTCCTGCCATTTGAGCTTAATCTTATTATAGCACATCTCTCCACATTTCTTTTGTTTGTGCAGATTTTACAGGCAGGGATTTTTCAAGTCAATCAAAGTGCATCTGTGCTAAGAGAAATTATTTTTGTGTGTATTGAAACAACCAGTTCAACTCTGTGCTCTCTAAACCAACAAGTAAAATCAATTTAATTCCTGTCACAAAGGTAAAGAGTGCTGTGCTATGGGAAGGAAAGCCTGTATACATAGCTGCCTCTCTCTTTTGCTTCTAGCACATGGTACGGTGTCCAGGAGAGTGAATTTACAGTGTTTGGAGAAATAGCTGAGGACAGCATATCCAGCTTGAGCTTGGCTCAGGGACAGCACCCCTGACTTATGGCTTGCCCTGCATGGCAAGTCTGCAAGTATTTCCATAACCCAGAGCTAATGGCCAGAGAAAGAAGTCTGACGTGAAATATTCCACATCTGACATCAGGGCGTACCATCTCTCTTGTTCTGCTTGGCACCACCTCGCTATGAAAGTCCCTCTTATAAAACACTATTTCTGAACTTTGTTCCTGAGCTGTTGAGTTTGCTCCAGCTTCGTGAATCTGTGTCCTTGTCTGTAAGTCATTTTCCTCATTCCCATTTTCAATCCTCTTGTCTTCTTTTTTTTTCCTGAAAGTAATTTTCCCAAAGACATCTTTCAGTCCATGTAAGAGGGAAATGACTTCATTTTTCTTTAGCATCTCCAAAAGAACCTTTTCTATTTCAAGAAAGCTGAGATCAAGTGATTTCTCCTCTGTACATCTGGCAACCCATCCTGCCTGTCCTCTTCAGAAGAGGCATCATTGTCAACAGCCATGCAGTTTGTGTGGACCCAGCCTAGCTCTGCTCTAGTACCGACTGGTCCAGACCCTTGAGGTCACAGATCAGTGGCATGCAAGAGTCAGCACAGAGCACAGAGTTGTCATTGGTTGATGTGAAAAAACACGATGTCCTGTGGCATGGGACAGGAAGCAGGCAGGCCTGTTGTAGCCAGTCCTCTGATCACGTGAGAGCAAGCCTTGCAGTGCAGCTGGCATTGGTACAGAATAGAGACAGAGTGAAACCAATTCCTGACACTGTCACAGCTGTCTCTGTAGGGCACGGTGTCTCGGGTCTCCATGTTACCCAATAAAGTTGCAAACCAGGCAACCGAATCACCTCCATCTTGATGTATTAACCAAGGCAGGCTACGCTACTGGAACCATAGGTAGTGCCTTTCACAAACTTGCTTTTGCATAGTAATACGAAGCAAGTCTATGGCTCTGTTGAGTTTTAGAAACCTAAGTTTTAAATATCAAGCGTGGTGACACAGGCCTGTAATCCTGGGACTCGGGAGACTGGAGTAGGAGGATCATGAGTTTGAAGTCATCTTGGGCCACACAGCAAGACCCTGCCCCTTAAGTTTTGTCACCCTCCTCAAGATGACAGGGAGCAAGGGGAATGAGGTACACCCTTGCTTCTTAAAAACTTTGGTCTGGAAATCACAGAAATCAAATCCACCCTCTCCGAGTTAAAACACGGTCACATGGTCACATTAGCATAAAGGATCCCAGAAAAAAAAATGAACGAATTTTTGGTAATTCTTAGCCACAGATAAGATGCTGGTAAAGAGAAGTAACACAGCATAGGGCCCTGCTAACAGAGAGGGCACATGGCGTTAGCTCCAGTCCCTGCCCCTGGGTGCCTAACTTGCACCCCCTCTGTCCCAGACTCTTCCCCTTCTCCTGCCTCCTCCCACCTCTGGCACATTGAGCACATTCCCAGTGAGCAAGCTCATTCCAGCAGGCACCAGGGAGCAATAAAGATTTCACTAGAGATCTCATGCGATGGCAGAAATGTAAGCGCATCTTCCACGACATCTGTTCCTTCTGCCAAAGCTCTTCCCCTGTGCCAGCGACTGCACCTCACCTGTCACTCTCCGGCCAACACCAACTTCCCTTCCAACACCAACAGCTCCTAAAAGTTTCATTGCCCTTAGCCTTCTGCCCACTCTGCAAAACAGAAACCTGGTAGTAAACCCCAAACCAATGACACATTTTCCCCCCTTTCAACACAGCCCTTAAGAAACTTAGAAAATAATTCACTGAACAAGAAAGGTCTCTTCTTGAGACAGGGTTGGGTGTGGAGTTTGCTACTAAGACATTTTTTGACAGAAAAATTCATTTAAGTAGAGAAAATACCAGAAGGGTATCCTGAAGTATTAAGTATTTATCAATAAGGAATCAGATTAAAAGATCTTTTTTTTTAGTTTTGTATTTTTCTAGGATTTAATTTTTGCTTCTGTATATTTCAAATGTTCTGTAAAATACTCGATGTATTTCTTTAATAGTCTAAAATATGTACAGTAAAGATTTTTAGCCTTTCTCCAACATCATTGATCATTACAGAAATGCAAATCAGAGCCATAGTAACATAGTAATTCAAACTCATTAGGAGGGCTATAATTTAAAACACACACATATGACATGCATACACACACACACACACACACACACACACACACACACACACCAGAAAATAAGAATCATTATTGACCATATCTGTCCATTTTCTGTCGCCATAACAAAAATAACTGAGGTTGGATATTTTATAAAGAAAACAGGCATATTTAATTCCCAATTTGGGAGGCTGAAGTCCCAGGCCAGGTGGCCTATTTGTTCAGCCTCTGGTACAGTGTTGGGGAATACTATTTTAAGGTGTTATTTTTGTTCATGTTGCATTTGTTTAACTCTGTGAAGCTGTGTTACTGTGTCTGTCTAAAACACCTGATGGTCTAATAAAGAGCTGAACGGCCAATAGCGAGGCAGGAGAAAGGATAGGCGGGGCTGGCAGGCAGAGAAAATAAATAGAAGGAGAAATCTGGGAGAAGAGAGATCTAGGAGCAAGAGGAGGAGGAGGACATCAGGGGCCAGTCACCCAGCTCCACAACCAACAACAGAGTAAGAAAGTAAAGTATACAAAAATAGAGAAAGGTAAAAGCCCAGAGACAAAAGACAGGTTAATTTAAAGCTAGCAAGAAACAAGCCAAGCTAAGGCTGGGCTTTCATAATTAAGAATAAGCCTCTGTGTGTAATTTATTTGGGAGCTGGGTGGCAGGCCCCCAAAGAGACAAAGAGTAAGAAAACAACCAACAACATTTTGGACAGTAACAGTAAAGGGACCATGGTCAATGGTTTTATGGTGACAGGTCATGCACAAGGGAGAGACCATGTGCCAAGATAGGAAGTCAGAGACTGGGGGTGGGGGTGGGGGGGGTCAGTTCTGCTCATTATTTTTTATAACCACCTCTCATAAGAAGTAACCAGGACCCAAGGAGAACTACTGTAATCTCTCTGAGAGCAATGCTTATTGACCTATGTAGCTCCACCCCCCAAGGTCTCCACCACTCTCAATGTCATCACAGTGAGAAGTCAGCTTCGCACATGAACCATTGATACCTACATCGGAGCTTTATCTAAGCTTAAGGCTGAGGATGTGGAAAGAAGGACACCTTTGCCTTCCTGGTAAAGTGCTGCCTCCATGGAATACAATACAGAGAGTTCCGCAAAAACCAAACATGGAATTGCCATATGACCTTGTAGTTCTTTGTACATGCCCCCAAAGACTTAGGAATTTGAAACGATGTTTGCACACCTATGATCATTGGCAGCATTATTCCATGGCCAGATCGTAGGAGCAACTTGAGGTATTTGTTAAGAGATGAATGCATAAGCCACATATAGCATAGGCAAAGGGACTATCTTGTAGCCTTGTTCAAGAAGAAGGCTTTGGAACTTGCTGGGTCTGCGGATGAGCCTTAAAGGCATTGTGCTAAGTGAAATAAGCAGGTTACAAAAGTTCAAATATTGTGTGGTTGCGCTTACCCGAGCTCCCCAGAGAACTGACATTTAGAGAGACATAGTTAACAGTACAGCAGTTACCAAGGGCTGGGAGATGAGAAAGATGGGAGCTATTGTTTGATGAGCATAGAGTTTTGGGGTGACGAAAACGTTCTGGAAACAGGTGAAGTCACAGCTACATAGCCATGTGAAGGTGTCATACCATGAGCTGTGCACTTAAAAATGTGTAATTTTACGTTAAGTATATTATATTACATTGATTATTTATTTAATTAATTAAGTTTTTGGTTTTCTGAGACAAGGTTTCTTTATGTAGCCCTGGCTATCCTGGAACTCACCGTGTAGAACAGGTTGGCCTCAAACTCAGAGCTCCTTACCTGCCTCTGCCTCCTAAGTGCTGGGATTAAAGATGTGTGCCACCGTGCCCAGTGGGTTTTTTGTTGTTGTTTTGTTTTTGTTTTAGTTTTAAAAAATGCATCTTCCCATAGGCAGCTTTACCTCAGATTTTGGCTGGGTAGCTCATGACATCTAGAAACCATATATTTGGGGGACATGGTCAAAGGATGTTATCAACTTGCATGAACATGTTCTTATAAAATTCAGTACAATGTTCAATGAATATAAGCCAAACAATAATAATAATGATAGTAGTAAGTCTGGAGAGATGGCTCTGCGGCTCTGAGAACTGCCTGCTCTTCCAGAGGACCTGTGTTGGATTTCCAGCACCCACACAGAGGCTCACAACAGTTTCAAGGGATCCAATGCCCTCTTCTGTGCTCCCCGGGAAACTAGGCACACAAGTGGTACACAGACATACATGCAGTCAAAACACCCATACACATAAAAAATAAAATTAAAATTAAAAACAAGTTATAAAAAACCAGATATAATTTAGTCACTCCATCTGCTCATTATTCATTTTTAAACTGAATTTGTAAATGACATTAAGAACATTCCACCTGTATTTATACAAGGCTTAGGGAGTTAATAGATATGGCTCATTTTCTTTGGGGATTTCCTATCTAACGAGTAAAAAGAAACTAATTACAGTGCACAGTGAGATGAAACAATGTAGTAAGTACAGAGGAACCAGCAGGGTCTGCTTACCTGGGTTTTGAAGAGGACTCTTTGATGTGCATTTAAGCTAAACCTTGGAAAAATGAGAGCGAACCCAGAGCTGCATTAAAAAGCAGGGGTGAAGAGAGATGGAGGGGAGGGTGCTGGGATGAGAGCAAGCCAAAAAAGCCACTAGTCCCACCCCATGAAGCCCCCAGCTGGTTACAGGACATCACAGGACAGTGGTCACGCTAGATAAGGACAGGAAAGCAATGTCAGACCAGAAATGGGGCTGAACTCAGAAAGCCATGCCAAAGCCAACAGTGCATCAGAGGCAGGGGTAAGACTTTGGCTGGCTCCATGGTGTGATTCCAGATAAAAGCGGAGCACACCGGGGCTTTCTGTGCAAGCCGGGCACTGACCTGTGCCTGTCAGTGTCTGATCGTGTGCAGCTATTAGGTTTGTAGTAGAATGAGAAAATAGTCATTTTCATTAAATAGGAACACTTTCGCAATGTTTCTTGTCAGAGTCTTGGACTCAGTCGGTCTGCGGTACGTTCGTTTCTTACCCCAAGACACACCCAGTAGACTTGTTTCTGGCGGGTGCCATAAGACTAGTGCACAGCTGAGCAACCATCACTGTGGCCCAGGTAGGGAGGAGAATAGAGTGTACTGGGAAACTGGAAATCCACGTCAGTCATTCTGTGTTGTAGGAACAGGGGAGATCATGAAAAGGAGTCAGAGGTTGTGTAAGTCCACACCTTGACCCTCATGAGCCATCTTCTTGTCAACCAGAAAGAGTCACTCTTGTCCTTTGGTGTCTCTGTTCTTTGAAGCCCCCATCATGTCCTGCTTCCTGCTTTCTCTTGAGTTCTTCTGCCCTAGGTCCCTGAGACTCCCCTCCCCATCTGCAGCCTCCCTGAAAGAACCTACATCCCGACTCTGAAAACCACAGCATCTAAGATCCATAGGCTTTCACAGCTGTCCTTCATCTGTGACATGAAGGACATGTCCTCAGCTGGGACATGAAGGAAGGGAACATCCCCAGGCTTTCGTGGAAAGCCCCACAACTCATCCCTCTTGAGCTCCAAGTTCCCAGGATCCAGCCACCTTTAGTGAGTCAGGCCCTGACATGATCTCACTCACAAGGTAGTAACTCCTGCCCCCTCCTTGGAAGACTCCTCAATTCCCCCAGGGAGGCTAGAGTCACAAAGAACTCGAAATCCCCTGCCTGGGGTCAGGGCACCAAGGTCTTAAAATACAAATCCCTGGTTGCTTTTCCTGGAAAGAAAGGGAGGGAATTACCTGTCCTTCATTTCTCCTCCTCCCTTGGAGTAGGAAAACAGAAGCCCCAGCCATTTCTCAATGTCTCACCTCATTTCACTCAGTCTCACTTTCTGCTGTCTGTGGACATACCAGCTGGCATCCTCGGTCTTGCACCATCAAGTCTGCCAGGGCCACTGATCCCAGCACCTGTTAATCTACTCCTAGATCTTTCCTGGGCCTCTACCTGTAGCTTTTGGGCACTTGGGCCTGAGAAACAACTGCTGCTGCTGGATGGCCCCTCCCACTCCTTCCCACCTACTCCTGGTGTTCTCTCCGCAGCAGCCCACAGCGCCTGATCTGCTTGTAGAGCAGACACAGCAACACAGAATGCAAATGGCTGAAGGTTAGAAATCTGAGCTATATGTCTGAACCCTCTTTCATGGTTCTAAAACTACTTTGGAACTAAGGTCCAGGCGTGTGAAGAAGCCAGCTGTCCCCAGACCCAGGCCAAGAAATCCTGGGATCTGGTGACCTGCACTCAGCTATGTGGCCAGAGTGTTTCACTTCTATGCTTCAGAAGCGACTGGGTAGCTCCATTGCTGGTCATGAAGGAAGTCCCCCCCCCCACCCGAAGTTGGCTTTTCCCAGAGATGGTGGGGTCATTGACCCTACCTCCTCCTGATCGCCTCATGGGTCTTTCTTAGCTCCCTCTGATGCATAGCTCTGGTACTCGTAACTGGGACACACCTACTTCATTTCCTTACAAGTATATACAGTTATTTAAGGGGGCTCCCCACCTCAGATTGTATTTTTCTATCCTGGTGGAGCACCTGCTGAAGGCAAAGCCAAATTTTCTCTGAAGCCCAAATTTGGTCCAAGTTCTTCACAGAAAATTCTCAGCCAGGCTTGGTGGCATGTACTTGTATTCTTAGCTACTCAGGAGGCTGAGACCGGAGGACAGCAAATCTAAGGCTGGCCTGGGTAACTTAGCAAGACCTCTGTTTTAACATAGAAATTTATAATTGATTTTAAAACGATATTTATTATTATTTGGGGGGAGGATATGTGCACATGCACATGCTGGTATGTGCATGCTACCCTGTGCATCTGGAGGTTCAAGGACACCTTTGGAGAGTTGGTTCTCTCCTTCCATTTAGGATCTAAGAATGGAACTCAGCTCGCCAGGCTTAAATGACTGGTGCTTTGACCCACTGAACCATCTCCCCAACCTTAAAACAAATTTGTTCAAGGGTCTGGCATAAGTCATTGAGACAGAACTTTCCCAGCATGCTCTGGGTCAATACCTACTAAATCGCATACACAGAAGATTCTCTAACATCGGGGTCTCTTTTTCCAGCCCAGCCCTATGGACTCAGGCTGAGCCTCACTCTAGTCTTATACCTGCTGCCTGGGATGTTCGGTGATGGTTTTAATACCTCTTCTGCATGCCAGCTCCTGCCCTCCTCACCCACCTATCCCCAGTCTAGAAGCCATATCCGTCCACCTCCTCCTGGTCGTAGCCCCAGGTTGGAGGGCACTTCCACGCTGCTGCCGTTCCTGCGCATGCTCAGAGCGTCTGCGGCTCTGATTTATGTTTTCCAGATTTGTCGCCTCACCCGCATAACCAGGCCGGCAGATATTTTAAGCGCATGAATCAGGGTGTCTGGCATGGCTTCCTCTACTGCAGAGCTCCGGCTGCAGGCATAATGAAGTTGGGAGGGGGAACTGTTCAACTTATCAGGGAGGAGCTTTGTGTCAGTAAGTAGTCTGCCTGGCAACAGCATCGGGAAAGAAAGATTCGAGCTGGTACCAGGGTCAAAGCCCGCATCCTCGGCCTCCAGATCAGCATCTCCTGCATAGTTTTCCACCGCTGGGGGCTGTCTACACTCCTTTTTTAAAAAAGGAAGATGAATTTCATCTATGCATGCCCCAAATGATGTCCCCTGACATGCCACGAGACAGGGAGACGTGATGAGCAACGGTGTCACCAGGCTGTGGACATCCATAGAACAGTTATGAATGAATCGCAAGAAGGAGATGTCTGCGCTAAAATGAGTGGCTGGAAAAGAATCCGCACAAGGCAGCACTAACTGACCTCTATGGCCGTGTGGGCATCTTGTTTGCAGTGTGGGGCTGGAGACAAGGGAGGGAGGCTGGCATTCCTTTCTGTTCTGTCTCCTGAGCAAACACTGAAGAAACAGTCTTGTCTAGTTCCTGCAGAATGAGGAACAGAGCCAACAAAGTTCTGGCGTGGACTTCCCAACACTTGGGGCGACTTTAAGACATCTCAGTGTGTAGGACGGTGACTGACAGAGTTGAAGCTGAACCTGGGTGTGTGGGATAGGGCCTGGCCCTTGCTCTGTTGCTACGTGATGTATCCTGAAATCCTTTCCTCAGCATCCTCTCTACCATCTGGAGAATGATCCAGTGATCCCACGGAAGTCTTCCTGGGTCTGGCATTCTAGGATTCCAAAGTCAAAGATAGTTTTACCATCCTAAGAAAGCAAAAACGTTTAAAGCGTTCCTATAAACGTTTATATGTCAGATACCTGAATCCTAAGAGTCTCCCTTCACATCTCAGTATGCACACAAGTCTTCAGGCTTCAGCGTCCCCAAGCATACATCGGCCGTGGTATCTGGGATACATTTGCATTTTTAACTTAAGTGTAATTCTATTTGGTTTCATGCCACAGGAAGTTCAAGCCTGAGTCAATTAAGGAGTTTTATGAAAAGAGTTTTTAAAAAGGAAAGACAATGCATTGCATATGTTAGCCCATTGTACTTTACACTGTTAGCCAGTAAGACACATTGGGGGCGACGTGTGCTCCAGTCCAAGAATCTGTTAGCAATCCGCAGAGTCGAATGTTTTACTGTCTTGTTTGGAAGCGTGGAATTTAGAAGCTGGCAGAGGCTTGGGCGGTAGGCAGGCATGGCCTGTAAGAACCAGGGCAAGGAGACTTTGGGTTCATTCTTACATACCACTCGGTTCCTCCTAATGGAGTCTTCATGGTGTGGGACTGAAAAGTCAAGCAGGAAAAAAAAAAAGCCATCTCTTAAACTTGGTGATGAGGTGGTGGTCAGCAACGTGAAACAGAACGGGATTCAATCGGCTCCTCTTCCCATTGAAAGCTTCCAGAGCAGCAGCGAAAATTCCTGCGTGTCAGAGAAGGGGCGGAGACAACTGTGTGGATGACAGGCAGAAGAGGAGACACATCCCAGGTAACAGCCGCAGCTGGCTTTTTCTGTAAAACCCACACCGCAGACAAGCAATCCTCCCTGGGAACAGAATGGGAGACTACTCAGAACTCAACGGGAAGGAATGAACTCTGAGCCACTATAAACAGAGAAAAGAGACTCGGTAACCGGCCCAAACCTCAGCTCTGGGTAGACAGGCTTCCTGGCAGTGGGGCCCCTAAGAGAAACTCAAACGAAAACACGAGAACAAAGATCCTAAGATGACCCTGAGTTTGAGGAGTGGAGATGGTACCAAGCTCTAAAATGGGAAGGCGTTGATCAACGTGAAATGTTCCCCATGGGCTCCTGTTGAAATCTTGGTCCCTAGCTGGTGTCACTATTCTGAGAAGTGTTGGAGACTTGAAGGAGTGGAACCTAGGTGGAGGAAGTAGATGGCAGGGAAGGAGGACATGCCTTTGAAGAGCAGACCTGCCCATCCCTTTCTCCCCCTCCTCCTCCCTCTTCCTCGCTGCCATGATGTGAGTAGCTTCCCTCAGTCATGACATTTCTCTGTTGTAGTAGGTCTAAAGACAATGGAACTGAAACCCTTTTACCTGTGCCAAAGCTGTAAAGGGTACTCACGGCCAATCCTGAGGAAAAGATGGAGAATTTAGTTGAAAACTAGGAGAAGTGGGTGTTGGAGGTCAAGGCTCCAGACTCAAAACAGTGACTCTGAAATGTCTAGAGCTCTTTTTGATTTATGGAACTGTGACTGGGTGACCATTTAAAGGAACCACATAGCAGTTTTGGCACAGCCAACAGAATAGGAGAATACAGAATGATCAGGACAGAATTATTCTCTTTGGTCAATGTCATTAGATATTAACACTGAGAAGGGCATTCAGTGTCTCCTGTGCTTGCAAACCATTAAAGATGCAGCAGAAAGGAGTTAGAACCGTCCAAATATATTACCAAAAATTACAGGAATACTTATTATCTCACAAAACACGTTGAGACAGACAGGCAGGGGTACTTGTACCAGGACCAATGCTGAGAACAGCTCCCAGGTTCTCCCTCTTACTGCTTCCCACCCTTCCAGTGATGTTCCCTTAGAATGACTCTGCTCAAGTCATCTTAGGCATCAATGCAGGCAATGATATTTAACACGGGGAAAACAAAAGATCCTCACTCACATACTTTCTTAGGAGCAAGAAATTCCTTCCTGGGAGCATCTCCCTCGACTTCCCCTCACATCTTTTCAGTCAGAATTGCATCATGGACTCCCAAGCCCAAAGCAATTGGTGATGGAGATGAGATCAGGAGACTAGGGGGAACTGGTAAAGCTTGGGCCTACAGGGTGAGGCCTTCCCCTGGGAAACAAGGACATCAGATACAGGTGAAAGGACTGGCTAGGCATTACTAGGAAAGAAGAAGGCTCCAAGCAGCATGTGGGTCGCTCTGGTTTATGGCCACAGAGAAAGGAGGTTGAGACATCCTCTTCTCAGATGGCCCTTTGTGCTCTATTTTGGTGACAATTGTAACAGTGAATCACTATGGCCAGCAGAAAAGAAGTTATACACCCAAGACATCTTAAAGAGAGTTCTCAAGTCTCACTGCTCTGACTCAGCAAGGGGCCTCTTCTAGCATGCTAAACTGCCCTTTCCCAGTAGCTGAGGTGTTGTGCAAGTTCAATACTTTCCAGGAAATTAGATATGGCCATTTTGGTAGACATGGGCGGGAAGGGTTTCAGAATCAGATCTGGTTTGATGACCCAAATCTTAAGTTTTGAGACAAGAAAAATTGCTCTAGATCCACCTCCACCAAACTTATTTTGGCATGTGAGTTCCATCAAGGGAGGCAATATTCTGAGGGCTACCATAACAATGAGTGAGGCATTCTGTAAGTTCATGAAAAGTGGTGTTACTCGGGGGCTAGGGGAAAAAGAAAAGGGAGTAACAGAAGCCCCTATTTTCTCTTACTATTCTCATCTCCCCTTGACACAACCCAAGGGGAAGCCAAAGAAGGCGAGGAAGTGAGAGAGAGGTGCAGGGCCTGAGAGGGGAATTACCCACAATACTGCTTGGTGTCTGGGATGGACTAGATACCAATGGCTATTATTCTCATTGTTTTATTGTCCAAACCCTAAAATCAAGTTCTGGAAAAATATCACAGAGACAAGAGGCAAACAGCATGCTCTAGAGCTCGTGTTGGGGACCACGACTCCTGGTCTTCCTGCCCTTCTGTCTTTCACCTTCCTGACAGTGTAAGTGCATTGTGGGTCCCCTCTTAGGCTCTCAGTCCAATGTGTCCTTCCACTCTTAACTAAACTAACCTGCCATGTCCCAGACACTCAGCAAACAAATCTAACAGAAGCTGTGATGATGACGTAAAAGACATTGCCTTCCATCATGACATTGACAGAATACAGATCTTGAGTCATTTTCCCATGATGGTGAGGCCAGCTAAGCAGTTATTGTACCAATCATCTCTTCCCCAGACTCACTAATGACTGCCATGAGATTGATGACAGGCTACTAGTCTATTCTAAACCCAAGAGCCAACTTCTGGGGTCCATGGAAGCTTCCCCTAAGTCAGAGATGAACCAGTAACATAAGGAATTAGAAACAGATCTGAGAAGTAGGGACCTTTGTGTATGAACCCGCTCCCTGCCTCTCCTCATCTCTCTCCATTTCTTATTATTTCAGATATTAACCTTTTTCACTTTCTCCTTGCTGTAGAGCCATGATCTCTATGACCACCATCTATGGGCTTAGGTACACTGAATCAGCACACTGAACCAGCAACCCCAACCCCAGAAGGGTGGAGCCCCTTTCCTCATCCCGGAAGGAAAGCAGCTTAACTTCTGAAGCAGGTCAGTGTGCCTCTGTTTGTTTTTGTTCTAACAAAGCTTGCCTAGAGATCAGAGTGTGGAGCTAGCCACTGGTTAACCATAGAAGCCAGGCAGTGGTGGCTCATGCCTTTAATCCCAGCACTTGGGATCTCATGCCTTTGATCCTAGTACTTGGGAGGCACATGCCTTTAATCCCTGCACTAGGGAGGTGGAGACAGGAAGTGATATGGCTAGGCAGAGAGAGGAATGTAAGGTGGGAGGAGACAGGAGCTCAGCCCCTTTTTCAGGCTGAGAAGTTTGGCAAGGTAAGAAGTGGCTGTGGCTTTTTCCTTTGTCTCTCTGATCTTTCAGCAGTTACCCCAATATCTAACTCTGGGTTTTTATTATTAAGACCAATTAGAATTCGCCATACCCATCTCATTCCTCATTTACTCTTAATAGAAAAACTCTATATGTGGCCTCTTGTTTTGTTTAAGATGTGGAGTATTGATTGGTTCCTGGCTGTTTATTCCCCCAGATTACCCTCTTCCAGTGGCTTGATTCATCTTAGGTCTGTCGGATGTTGGCCAGTCTGTTAGGCAGGAACTACTCTAAAAACTCCTCCCTGAGCGGGGTGTGGTGGCTCAAGCCTTTAATCTGTGCCCTAGGGAGGCAGAACCGGGGCAGTCTCTATAAGTTTGAAGCCAACCTAGTTTATATAGTGGGTTCCAGAACAGTCAGGGCTCCGTAGAGAGACCCTGTCTCAAAAACAAATCAAAACAAAATCATCCCTACTATGTCTCTTGGTCAATTGTTGAATGAGACAGAGGGAAAAAAATGTATTTGATTCCTGGTTTGATAAGATTTCTCATGCCCCCCTTTAAACATCTCAAGAACTAACTTGTCTAAAGAAAGGAGAATGTGGGAAGGAGACTGTTCTCTCCATAACAAGAAATGTGTCAGCAACTGCAAATGAATGTGGAAATTTCTAGACAGCAGCAAAGGGGAAGATTCAGTGCACATGGTTCCTTCTAAAAGTGAGGCTTGCTCTTTACTTAATGCTTTTGTAGAAGAACTTCTTGTCATCAGGAGCAGAGTTATTTACTTCAATTATCTTGGTGGGTTTCAGTTCTGCCTCCTCCTCTTCCCTTGAAAGAGAGAACATTTTTATTAAGAAGGAAACTCACATCTCTTTTTGTGGATTAGCCACTTTTTGTGGATTAGCTACTTGTGATGTCATTGAAGAAGGCGTTTGTCAACTGCCTCCTCCACAGGAGTGGGTGCAGGATCTTTGCTCAGATAACAGTACTGAGTTCCAGTTCACCTCAAGAGGGAATAGCCTGAGCATCATACACTTAGATAAGTGGTTCTAAGCCCAAGTCATGAGATCAAATCACCTGGGGATGGGTGCATGACTTGGGCCCCAGCCTGGAGACCCAATTTAATTTGGTGTCGGGTAGGGCCCAGGCATTGGTGGGGTTTTAAAGTTCTCTAGTAATATTTACATGCATTGAGATTGAAATCCACTACTTAGAGTACTGAGAAGTTTGCCTCTGCCTAGTTTTATGGTCCTGTGGACTAGAAAATTTCCTTCTGAAATTCCAAAGGAGGATCTTCAACTTGATTGGCTGTCTACAGCCAATGATGTGCAGCTCTGAAGGTGAAAGAAAATCTTAACACACACATACACACACACACACACACACACACACACACACACACACACACACACAAGCATGCACACACACACTGTAAGTGATATAGCTTTGTACACAAACTTCTGCTTCATCTCACACGCTCCAAAGCACTGTAGCAGCTACTTTGTTCATCAAAATGCTTTCCCTGCCTTCCCCAGGATACAGGGAGCTTCAGGTTAGCAACAAATTGTGTGTTAGTTGTTGCAACAAATACTCAAAGAAAATGACTCAAAAGGAAAAGAAAGAAGAGAGTTTATTTTTGGCTCAGTTTTCAGAGTTGCCATGCTTGGCTGGCTCTGTTACTTTGGGTTCGAGGCAAAGCTGACCACTGTGGTAGTGAGAGAGAAAAACGCTGTTCGCCTCATGGTGGCCAGGAAGCAGAACGACACAGATGGAGGCTACGGAGAAGGACACCTGACAGCCTTCCTCTGGCTTCTGCATGCTCACTCACAGGAACACACACACACACACACACACACACACACACACACACACACACACACACACACTCTCTCTCTCTCTCATCATCATCATCATCATCATCATCATCATCAACAGCTGACAAGCTATGCTTGCAGCTCTGTGAAAAACACGATTTAAAGTATGAGAAGACAAACCGTAGACTAGGAGAAAATGCTTGCAAAATGCATATCCAATAAAGCACTAATAGTCTAAAATATACAAAGAATTCTTCATATATATGTGACCTGACCAAAAAATTAGGCTAGAGGTCTAAACAGGTACTTCACCAAAGAGCATAAACAGATGGCTAATAAGCACACATCATAAGGGGATTTCAAATTAAAACAATAATGCAGTACCACTGCATACTTATATAGGAATAACTAAAATTAATACACACACACATACTAACATCAAGCCCTGCTAAGGGTGGAGAACAACAGGAATGATAACTCATTATCAATAGGTGGTCAACTGGTACAGCTGATTGGAAGACAATTTGGCAATTTTGTAAAAACGTTCAACATTGACTTACCCTATGATCTAGCTAGCAAAGAGCTACATATTTTTCAAAGTGAAGTGAAAAATGTATGTTTGTGCAATGGCGTACAATGGTCTATAATAACTATTTTTAATTGTTCCAAACTGGAAACCACCTAGATGTCCTTCAGTAGGCTCTCCACAGTGATAATCTGTGTGTCACCTGTCCAGTGGAATTACTCAACATGAAAAAGAAAGGAGCTATCAGTCACACAAAAAAAGAAATTTATGCATATTGTTAAATGAAAGAATCCAATCTAAGAAGCCTGCCTAGTTTATGATTTGAGCTATATAACTTTCTGGAAAAAGAAAAATTATAGATAGTGTCTTACTTTTCCGCTGCAATGAAAAAGCACCGTGGCCAAGGCAATTTATAAAAGAAAGCATTTAATTTGGGCCTCGTGGTTCCAGAGGATAGTAGAGTCCATGACCACCATGACAGGAAACATGGCGGCAGGCAGGCATGACTATGGAGCAGTAGCTGAGAGTTTACATGTTGAGGCAACAACAACCGCAAGGCAGAGAAAGAGAGACACTGGGAATAGCATGGGCTTTTGAAACCTCTAAGCCCACCCTCCGTGACACACCTCCTCCAAAAAGACCCCACCTCCCAGTTCTCCCCGAAACTGTTCTACAACTTCAAAACAAGCATTCAAATACGTTAGCCTATGGGGACCATTCTCCTTCAAACCACCACAGGCAGTGAGGAGACCATGGGTTGACAGGGATCCTGAATGGGGAAAGATGACTAGGCAGAGTACAGAGAATCTTACAAGACTATTCAGTGTCGCACCCTAATGGTAGATACAAGATACCAAATATGTGGCAAACCTAACTGAGTATATAGAGTGGACCCTGTGGTTAAGTATGCATTCTCATCTATAAAAATAGATTCCCCCAAATGTTGATAACCAATATGCTTTCCTAGCTATGTTATAAGGCAAAACTGGGCCAAACAAACTTATAGGAGATGGGTAGCCTCTATAAGATGTTAGGTTTTCACTTCTTATGTCACTAACATTTGAAAGTAGGTACCAAATATCAAAGCTGTTCTGAGACATGGATGGTGGTCAGCTAGGTATTCTTACCCATGAGTGATCATTCTTGAGTACCGGGTGGCTCCTAAAATTCATGTCTCACGACTTATCAACCTCCTAGGCCACTACCAAAGGATTAAGCCCTGGATGATAACAGCCTACCATGTTGCTGTTCCAGACAAAAAGCATGTTCGAGGGCTAGGGATAAGGGTCAGTTGGTGGAATTCTTGTACAGTATAATTGACCCCACCAGCACTGCTTAAAACTGAGGGTCATTGCACATGGCAGCAATCCCAGCATGCTGGAGGTAGAGGCAGAAAGCAAGAATTCAAGGTCAGCTTTGGCTACATGAAACCCTGTGTCAGATAGATATCTAGGTTGGTAAGTAGGTAAGTAGATAGACAGACAGACAGATGGATAGGTAGATGAGTAGGTGGATAGATAGACTGGATGGATGGATGGATGGATGGATGGATGGATGGATGGATGGATGGATGGATGGATGGATGGATGGATGGATGGGTGGATGGGTGGATAGGTGGGTGGGTGGATGGGTGGATGGATGGGTGGATGGATGGGTGGATGGATGGATGGAGAGATAGGGAGATAGATGGATGGGGAGAGAGAAAGAAATTCAGTCCCCGGCATTGCAATCATCACATGATTGTATTTAGTATTCTTTATAAAGTTGTTTCTGTGTCTTATGTCAAGTGTATAAAGAACTTTCTTCATCCAAGATTACTTTTTAGTCCTTCAATCTTTTTAAAAAATTGACATATATATATGTGTGTGTGTGTGTGTGTGTGTGCATTTGAACACTTATGTACATGTAGAGGAATGCATGCATGTGCCATGACATATGTGTGAAGGTCTGAGGATAGCTTGTGGGAGTCTGTTCTCTTTCCACCATGTAGATCCCAGGGATTGAACTCAAGTCTTTAGGCTTGACTACAGGCACCTTTACCCACAGAGCCATCTTGCTGGTCCTAACCCTCTGATCTTTTGGTTCCTATGATATACACATCAACACAGGATACCTGAAAGGCCACCAAGGATGCTGTTTCTAGGGTGCTAGCAGTCATGGCCATGGGGCACTATGAAGCATCCTGGGTAACTCGTAGAGACAGTAAAGACAGGCTCTTAAAGGGATCACCCCAGAGTAGAGTCTTGAAGAATACGTAGGAATTAGCCTAATAACTAGAGAACTAAAACATAGTTCAGCTGGAGATTAGAGTTGAAGGAATGGAAGTGGGGAAGACATGATCAGAAGATCACGGTGGCCTGGAATGCTTAGAAACATGAACTT